CAAGATGGCGGCAACTAACGAAGGTGCAGACAAGGTAAGTGCATTGTTTACTGTTCATAAGTCAGTTTGCGAAAATATATAGTTTGCCAGCCTTAGTTAGAATGGTTCATTTACAGTTCAAACTGACTTCATACAAACAAACATTCCGCTGTAAATATGTGACACTTTTATTGTAAGTAAAACGTTTCTAGCTAGTGTTTGTAAATTTGTTTGGAAAGTGGAATGGAAACTTTGTTCCATCAACATTCCACTCATTATAAAAAGGTTTAGATAAAGTTTAAATAATTTAATTTGATTGCTTGAACTGTTTACATGTATTTTTTTCTTYTTATACTTCATTCTTTACAGTCCTAATGCATTGTAATTATTTTCTCGCCATGTACTTTTACGAGAGTTATAAAACCGAAGCTTATTTTTTCTACGAAGGTTATTATGGTTACCTGAAAGTTTATTGGGATTAATACAAATCTAAATTACTACTTTGTAACAAACATTTTCACTAAGATAATAAATGATTCTGCAATTTCTTTGTCATTCAAACAATTTCTAAAGCAATTATCTTCGAAGCGTAGATAGAGCTTGAAAGAAAACACATTTTGTACGATATTTTTCACTCACCTAAAGTAGAAAGTGCAAGATATATAGCTTGTAATTTCCCTTATCCTTGTACCACATCGTCAGGAAATAATTTGTCATAAGAGTTGTTAAAAAGGAGTTAAATTTTTTTTTTCTGTCAGAGATGTTGACTTTTCATTGTGAACCTTTGCATTCAGAAGAAAGACGTCGATATACCAAAAAAGTGCTATTTCGCCGTCAATCAAATGCTATGAGCCAATCACGCGCGGCAATCCTGAGGCTTTATAATATGGCTGCTCTCTTTTGATCAAACTTATAATGGAGAATCGCGAGACTATGCATGCCAAATAGACCAACATGTTGCTATTTATGTTTTCATGGAACCATGATTTCAAACTGCCAGGGCCGCCAGTTTTTAATTTTCGAAGATTGATTCTATCTTTGTAGAGAAACTTTTCAAATTGAAGTGTTTGTCTTTCTCGTCAACCACTAGATACGAACGAGGGCCTCTTTCAAGGAGTTAGGGTACCCCTACCACTAGGTTTGCCCTACCTAGACCTAATAGTTTAGTACTAGGGCTACCCTATCTTCTATACATGATTGTCTTCGGACTATATATTTTAATGCCTTTGCAAGCGTTAAAAATATGTGCCATTTTCGAGCTGTATTTTTTTACAAATAAATTAAGCTATAGCTAGATAAAACTTTTGTGATAAACTTTAAACATTATTTTGTTAATTAGTAGTAATTTTGCCCCGAAAAATTTCAAAGTTACTCATTTATTTACGAAAATTCAACGGCCTGCTGTGACCTGAACTTATTAGTAAAGCGTTTTATTTCATTAATTGTGCAGTGCTTGTTTACCCTTTATTTAGGCTCAATATTTATCTTACTTAACAATATTGTGCAGCCAGTCTTTATTATATATTCGTACTCGCTTTCATCTAACGCCTTTAAAGTTTTTCATTAACTCTTGTTAAGGCTCCTAAAACGGAGGGGGTGTCTCCCAAATTGTGTCATTTTTGTGTCACTTTTAATTATGTAACGGTAATATTTTGGAACGGACTTCCAAAGGAGTCATTGACCGATTTGGGAATATTAGAAAACGAATTGAAAAGGAGTTGTAGTTTTAGTATCAAGACGTATATTCTAATGGTAATAAAAGGAACGCTGTAAATAATTAATGCACATTTCTTAACTTGTAATAAGTTTTGGAACAGCCTTTAAAAAAATTTATTGACAATTTGGGAATATTAGAAAACGAATTCAAAAAGAATTGTAGTTTTAGTATCGACGTATATTCTGATTCTAATAAAAGGAACGATGTATTGCAGAAAATAATTAATACACATTTCTTAACTTGTAATAAGTTTTGGGACAGCTTTCAAAAAAAGCCATTCACAATTTGTGAATATTAGAAAACGAATTCAAAAGCTAGGAATGGTCCCTTCTCAAAATTGTCTTGAATGTGAGGCTAAAATGGAAATACAAAAGAAATGCCACAAATTCCATAGAGAAAAAGTTTGTATTTCTATGTTAGCGTTGCATTCAGGACAATTTTAAGAAGGGTCCATTGCGGTTTTAGGGGTACCAAAACTTAATAAGAGGAGAAGAAATTGTATTAAATAATGTACCATGCATTTCTTTACTTGTAATTATATATAGTTACATATAGTTATTAGTTTGGAACAGACTAACAAAGCACTCATTGACAATGTGGAATATTAGAAACAAATTTAAAAGTAATTCTCTATATATAATCGATTTCTCCGGCCTCTTTCTTAAACAATGAAAGGGATATTATTCTTCTTTTCTTTGCTCTGGGATTAGACTGCGGAATTAATTATAGAGCCCATACAAACTTCAATTTTCAGAACTTCAAACTTCAGAACCCTTGCTGTTCACATCAGTTGGTTAATAAAATGTTAGGACAGGTTTTGACAAGTTTCTAATATTTGATGAACATTTAGCCTCCAACGCATTGAGTGCTTTGCTTCGCTATCGTTCATGGATAGATCGGGGGGGAGGCGGGCGAAAAGGTCTGGGCCTCCTACTTTGGGACTTTTTTTTTTCTTCACTTCTTCGAGGTCCAAGGTCGAATTTCTTTGGTAGCATAGATTTCCTTAGATTTCCTCTGGGTTATTTCTTTTTACATAGTCAGCGGCGAGATTCGTCTAACGTCGAATTTTTTGTCCCCCCCCC